TGGTGGGCTTCTGTGTTGTGGAAGAAACAGCTAAAGAAATTGGAGGTGTTTAACCTGAGGAAGAAGGAAGTGTTGAGAGGCCTTTACCATTTAAAGAGAAATGATGGGGAAGAGGAAATAAATTCATTTTGTGTTACTGGGAAAGGTGGAACCAGGATCGATGGGTAGCCATTATGAAGAGGCTTATTTTATTATTTTATTTTATTTTATTTTAATAAAATGTTTTGTGATAAGGGGAGGCATTTAAAATTGCACTGAATTGCTTTTTGAGCTAGCGAGCTCTCCATCACATGGAGGCTTAAGGAAGCCTCCTGACTTGGCTGTAGGGTGGCCTAGTTCAGCGGTCGCCATCTGGTGGTCCGTGAGGTTCGAAAGGGTGGCGACTGCTGACCCAAATGACAGTGTTCTCTTCTACCATGCTGTCAGCTCAGATCAAGTAACTGGCTTAAAGTAAGATGACTTCACACTGGAATTTGCTGGGTGTCCGTAGCATGCCTAGGAACTTTCTCCCTGGAATTAGTCTGTTCTGATGGCTATCATTCATTCATTTTGTAAATATTCATTGTGTGAGGTACTGTATTTCTGGTTTTATTTTGCTGAAATGAAAACAGAGGTTGGGAATGAATTTGTATTTACTTGACATCATGGACTCCTTGGAGAAACCCAGTGAATTACGTTTCATTATGGGAGACAGTTCTCCTTGGGAGTGTTGTATTTTGGGAGTTCTTTTGAGCAAAGCACTGAGTGCCCTTTGTTTTAGACTGCCTTGCCAGGGTGTTTGCTAGCAAGCATGCTTGGAAGATAGAATCTTGTCTTCTAGAGCAGAGGGCAGGCATATTTACTGTCCAGTATGAATGATTCGGTTTTCTAAGCTCAGGGTTCTCTCCAGTAATTCACAGCGTGTGCAGGCATCCATTTGGGCTTAACCCCGATGAGACATGCGGGAACGGGCACTGAACAAATATGCTGGTGCTCATGCTACTTGCTGTGCTGTGAGTAATAAAGTCCTTAGTCTGACCCAGAAGTTTTGTGTCTTCTACCAGAATCCATAAAACCGTGGCAGGCTAGCTTGTTAACTTGTAAGTAGGATAAAAATCTCGGACTCTTCTCAGTTCTTGACATTAAGGAGGAATAAAGTGAGAATCAGAGGTCAAATCTCATGCCTAATGCCAAATGATCTAGTGGTTGGGGGCATAAAATGTGAACCTTTGTCTCCAAAGGATGTTCTTTCCATTACATTGTGGAAAAATGCTACTGCCTTTACTGCTTCTCCTACTACCACTAGTGCTACTGCTTCTACACCTATGGGTAGCTAGCAACAACAACCGGCATTGTTGAGTTCTAATGATATGCCAGGCCTTGTGTGATCTCATTTAATTCTAATCAACAACCCTATAAGGAAGGTGTATTTATTAGCTCCTTTTTATAGATTAGTCAAGTGGGATAGGATTACCAAGGTCGCTGGAGCAGTAAATGGTGGGTTCCAGCCCAGGCAGTTTGACTCCAGAGCTTATAACTGTAGCAGTTAGGAGCATAATTAGAAAACAGACCTACCTGGGTTCTGAATCCTTGTCCTGTTTCTTCCCTTGTTGTATGAGGTGGGGCAGACCTCTTCAAATCTCAGCTGCTGCATCTGTAAAGGGGAGGGAGGATAGCAATAGGACCCACTCCAAGGCTGAGTGAAGATTAAATATACATTCTATCAAGTCCGCAGCACAGCTGCTTCCTGGCAGCTACTAAGCCTCTCTAAATATTAACGGCCATCATTATTATTTTTTTATTCTGGCTGCCTTACTGTCCTTTAATTAAATTTTTTAAAATGGTTTTTACTTTCAGAATTCTCCAATATGAGTACTTTTTACTAAAGGGAAAAAGGTCACTCAGCCCAGTTTACATCAAGAGAAAGAATTACCAATGTGGGGCAACCCTGGCTGATTTCCTTACATAAATACTTTCTCTAAAAAGGAAAAGAGCTGAAACCCCCTACAGACCAATTTACTTTTCAGTCTTTATTTTACGAACTCTTTGATTTTCCTAAATAACTCCTAATGCTTCAGTGATGTGGTGCAGGGACAGCTGATGCCAGGATGAGGTCCTCTCTGGGCCTGACACTGCCCTTATTGGCCATGCTGCTGCTTAATGTAAACAGTGTGCAATGTCTGGCATGTTTCCTTCCGCAGGTGGTGGCGGCGAGGAAATCAAGCACAGCGGTGTGGGTTTGGAAATTCTGTTGCTATTGGCTTTTACAAGGGGAAGCATAGAGTTAAATATCTAGGGATCTTTCCTTTGGGACAATTGATAAATTGGAGGCATTTTCTGATTGTGCTTTATTTTTTATTAACAGCCCAGAACATTTCAGATTTAAAGAGCAAAGTTGTATATCATAGAAACAACAGGAAGACATTCTTAGCTACCCCCAAATAATGCAAGTGATGTTGGTAGTGGTCAAAAATCCAACATCTGTCTTTGTGACCAAATTCTCCCTAAATTCTCCGCTCTGATTTATTTATTAGTCACACACTTGCATGGTCTCCTCTACCTGAAAGTAACCTTGGTAAGTGTGGTGTAGGGTCACCAGTTGACAGAGGAGGACACAGACCTGGCATGGGAAAGGCCTCCCTTTAAGTCTAGGGGTCCACAGGGTGTTGATTTCCTGAGTGTACCCCACATTCCTTAGAGGCATCACCTTTTTCCTTCCTTACACTCTCCCCTCCACTCCCAATTTCATGCTACATCAGATCTCTCGGCATCCGTAACACATTTACAAGATTGGAGCAAAAGACTGGCCTGCTGAATCTCCCTCTGAATTGAAAAAAAAGGTTTATATATTATGTGGCTCATGAATTAAGATCTTATGGTCTAAGTGACAGTTTGGAGAAGTCTATTGTACAGTATTTTGCTTGCAAATATCTAGTAGTAGATATGTGATTGATTTACTGACAGACCATATTTGAAAGCAGTTCTAATGATGGACTTATAATTGATTACATCCATCAATGAGAGCCTAAAATACCCCTCCCTACATTAAAAAAGATAAATGAAATAAATTATGCAGAATGTATAGGCTGACAAATCTGAGGGAATTTAATGAAACTCTAAATTACCACAGCCAACAGATAAGAGGAAAAGGTTTCTTTGTTGCCGATTATAACACTAAATTAAAAAAAATTATCCAAGAAAAATAATAGAGGAAACAAAGATCTGTGGCCTATGCATCAAACTAAAGTTATTGAAAGGTTTTTAATAAGTGTATCTATCTCATTCCCTGGTTATTGTTGATTCATATCAATCTTGTTAGTGCTGATGGAAGAATAGCACATTCAGGACTACCCTGCACTGTAGCTCCTATTATTGCTTTCCTAACAGATTTTAGAGTTAATATGACCTTACTAGAGGCCCAGTGCACAAATGTCCCTTAGCCCAGCCTGCATCCTTTCCAATCTGGGACCCCTCGAGAGAGGTACTATTTCCTGTTTAGGCCCATTCCCAGTAGGGTCAGGCCTAAACAGGCAGTCGGACATCCCTCTCACAATCCAGAACTGCTGGCTCCTAACTGCTCGCCTGATTGCCCCTAACCACTCCCCTGCCAGCCTGACTGCCCCTAACTGTACTCCTCTGCAGGCTTGGTCACTCCCAACTGTCCTCCCCAGCTGGCCTCATCGCCCATAAGTGCTCTCTCTTGCAGGCCCGGTTTCTCCCAACTGCCCTCCCCTGCTGGCCATCTTGTGGTCCACATGGGGGTAGCCATCTTTGACCACATGGGGGCAGCCATCTTGTGTGTTGGAATGACGGTCAATTTACATATTACTCTTTTATTAGATAGGATTTCTAGGCCACTGGGGGCTCTATACCAAATTGCGGTCATTTATATAAGCTATTTGTGCTCTTGCTGGTGTGGATTAGTTGGTTGGAGCATCGTCTCGTGCACCAAAGGGTTGCAAGTTTACTTCCCTGTCAGAGCATATGCCCAGGTGTGGGTTTTTGATCCCTGCTCAGGGTGGGTATAGGAGGCAGTCTATTTATATCCCTCCCTCCCTCCCTCCCTCCCTCCCTCCCTCCCTCCCTCCCTCCCTCCCTCCCTCCTTCCCTCCCTCCCTCCCTCCTTCTCTCTCTCTCTCCCTCTCTTTCCCCTTTTCTGTCTCTAAAGTCAATAAAAACATATCCTTGGGTGAGGATTAAAGAAAAGCTATTTGGAAGGTGGCTCCTCAGTGTATGAATAAATTTACCAGTTAAGACACTTTCAGCTATATGTAAAAGACAACCAGCTGAAAGTGACCTAAACAGGATAATTAGCATCTTCCCTAGCAAGAAGTCCTGAGGTCAGGCAGCTGCAGGGTTAGCAGTGGCTTGGCATTTCTCTGAGCTTTCCTGTCCATGGTTGTGAGATGGCTGAATTATTTGAGTATCTCAGCTTTTATCAGATTATTTTGTGTTGGGAAAAGGGGCCTGCTTCCTATTAATCTTACTTTCAAGTAAAACTTTACCTAGAAGTCCTTAGTCTCAGTGGCTAGACTTGTCACTGGGAAAGGAAATGGAATTACCAGGATTAACTCAAGACTTGCCCAGGGTCTTGCAGAGTTCATGCTGCCTATTATCCAATTACAGTTAGCATGCCAAGGAAAAACTGAATGGAAGGCTCCTTGGATAGGCAACCAGCAAATCCATTTAGATGGAGGCATTGGAATTTACTAAGTAGGTGGTTTCCTATTTTCTTTTAATAAATTGTTTCATGGCCTAGTTAGTGGGATGTATGGGTTAGCTTATTGACTAATTGGTATTTCTTTTTTCTTCCAGTTTATATGCAATATTATTTTGTGTTAGGTTAACAACATAAGTGGTTTGACAATCATATACTTTACACAGTGTTTCCCCAATATTTCCAGTACCCACCTGCACCATACCTGGTTATTACAATATTATTAACTATATTTCCTATGCTGCACTTTTTTCCTTTTTGCTCTAAGTTTGACTCAGCTTGATATATTCTCTGCCTTTATCAGAACCCTGTCTACCAGTGATGATGTTGAAGACAGAGAAAATGAGAAGGGTCGCCTTGAAGAAGCCTATGAGAAATGTGATCGTGACCTGGATGAATTGATTGTGCAGCACTATACAGAACTGACGACAGCCATCCGCACGTACCAGAGCATCACAGAGCGCATCACCAACTCCCGAAATAAAATAAAGCAGGTGAGCCTCCTTTCCTCTTGTCTGGTGTTAGCTGAGGGAGAGGAGCTATGGAGTGGCCTTAATGAGTGATTCCTAAGGGTGCCTTCAGGAGTTACAAAATGCATATGCTGGAAAGCCTCATGGTCATAGAGGACATCCGGGATTCTCTTCTTCCTTCTCCTATGTCTTATCCTTGGCTCCTATCATTACTTCTCACTGTGAAATGACATAGGTGATGGCCACAACTTGAGGAAGACTGTACAGAATCCAAACCAAAGAGGGGAACTGTTTTAAGAGTCTAGGGCCTCTTACTATTTGAGGCTCCCATTACAGAGTATCAAATGTATTCACTGTGCTCATATCACACATTGAGTGTGTGTGTGTGTGTGTGTGTGTGTGTGTGTGTATTGTAGTAGTTGACTTTTTAAAAAAAATTTTTCCTTTGAGTATATCATCTAATTTGAAATTGGTTACGATTTCTCTGCAGTCATTGTACATTCTTTGTCATGTTTGTGAAGAAAATTTAACATAAATTATTTAAGCGTATAATGAAATATTTATGAATCCCAAAATTCTCGAATATATTTCTTAGTTGTGACAAGTATGTATTAATGTCTGCTTTGTAATTTTCTTTTCATATTCTGGAGGTTTCCCCCCATCTTTCTTTCATTCTTTTTCTCCTCTTTGTTTTCATCCCCTACTTCTCTCTTCCCTCTTTCTGCCCCTTTTCATCTTTCTTCCACCTCTCCTTCCCTAACTCCTTCCTTTTGTGGTAGGTGCATGGAAAGCTTTTTGGGGTTCCTGGGTACCATGTCTCTAGGACCTAAGGGATAGAGTGGGTTCATAAGGGCTAATTTTATATTTGGCTAAGGGGTACACTGATAACTAAATGTGTATTGTCACATTATAGTTATGTGGTTTTTGGTTGTGTATTTGAAGGGTCACTCCTTTAAATACCTCTTTGTACTACTCATTGATGGATAATCATTTCTACCACTTAGTGAGCACTGATTCCTTGCTAGGCATGGTGGTGTATATTCCTGTTTCAACAAATCTAGAATTTGAGTCTCCCTGACTCTGAGCCCTTGGTGCTGGTTTCCAGGTATTTTAAAACTTAGCTCTTTGCCAGAACCCCAGCATTCAGGGAGGTAGCTCTCTTCTTGTTTGATGTGGGTGTGAGAGGTCTGGAGCTCAGGCGTGGTCTCCTCTTCTATAGTGGGTGGCTGCCTCTAAGCACTTCTGTGGGCTGAGGGCTGAGCAGACCATTTCAAATATACTGCTCCGTGCTATTTGATTGAGATAGGGACTCTCTGGACTCTACCTGCTCAATTGTAGCTGAGCTCCTGGCATTCTCACATGTTTTCTTCCCTGTCTTCTAGACCTTATATCATGCTTTTGTAAGTAGATGCATAGAATGTTCTTCTAAGACTGCTGTTTGTATGTTTCAGCCTCTGAGAGTACAGTTGCCGAATCAGTAAGCCCTATGAAGCAATATGATGACCTCTTTATGTTTTAAAATTAACTGGGTATTTTCGAAAGGAATATTGTAAGTCTTGGCCTTACAAGCAGTGAGTTCATCCTATGGATTTATCTGTGAAACTAGGCAAAGGTATAGATCAGTTCCTCTAGATTTAAAATAAACTGTAGTCCATTTTGACCCAATAATATCAAGTAGGCAACCTTTTATTACATGGGATGATGCCAACCAACTGACCCATCCCCTTTTTTTAAATATGATGGAGTTTGAGGCAAAAGAAAACCAAGAAAATGTTGTGTTTATTATATCAGTTGTCAAGAAAAAGAAAGTCACATAATTCTGTGTTATGAATTAGCCTCAATACTGGAAAGAACAAGAAAGGGCTAAAGCTCTTTTCAGAAAGTCTTTAATAATTGATAAATGGGAGAAGAAACATGTTGGGAAAAAAATGAAAGTGAACTTATTTTCATTTTATAATCTGACAGTTTTGTACTGTGAAAGTGCATTTCTTATCACCACGGAAACATTGATATTTCCTCACCAATCTTTCCCTGTCATATTTTTTTTTTCATTTAAAGAGTTGTCCTTTAAAAAAAAAAAATCTTTATTGTCGAAAGTATTACATATGTCTCATTTTTCCTCCATTTACCTCTCCCAGCCCATTATTGACTCCCCCTCTACCCTGTACCTGCTCTTCCCCTACCCCCAGGCCTTCACTGCACTATTGTCTGTGTCTATGGTTATGCATATATGCATATAAATTCTTTGATTAACCTATTCCGCCACCCCCTTTTGCTCCCCGCTTCCCTTTGAGATTTGACAGTCTGTCATGTCTGGTTCTGTTTTAGGTCCTGGGGCTCTAACAGTGGAAAACACCAGTCCCTGTCCTCATGGAGCTTACATGCTAATGAGAGGAAAACAAACAAATGATGCTATTTAACAACATTGCTTCCGTATAGTAAATGTCTGTTTTGTGCTGAGCATTACTCTGGGCTCAGGAAGAAGTGAATAAAACAGATAAAAATCCTGTCCTCCTGGAGTTCTAGTCAGGGGAGAAGACTGTAAATTAATAAATAAATAAAATATGGTAAAACAGATATTAAGAAGTGATGTGCCAAAAAATGGCAAGGGAGGGAGAACAGGGAGCTGCTGTTTTAAATAGGTTGCTTGGAGAAGGCTTCCATCTGAGCTTTTCCTGCTCAGGTGAGAGAGACAGGAAAGCACCACCGGAAGAAGGAGTGGCAGATAGAAAAGTTTCCTGAAGGAGGATCATGACTGGAATTTTGGGAAAGCAGTGAGGAGGTCAGTGGGGTTGGAGAGAGATGAGAGCTGGTAGAGGAGTGTGGATGGGCCAGGTCATGCATCACCTTGGTCCCTGTGAGAACTTTGAATGTGCTGGGAAACTGTTGTAAGATTTTGAGCATAGCAATGACATGATATTGACTATTTTTAATAGGCCACTGTTATACTGAGAATAGTTTTGAGTGGGGACCAAGTCAGGCGAAGATGTTCATAGCCATGTCTTGTTACCTTTAAAAGCTTGAGGACACAGAGCTGTTTACTTTCCAATTTTGATAGTAGTTTCATGTACCAATTTATATTGGATTGGTAGAATCTGTGTCTTGGAGGATGACATGAGCTGACAGATTTGACTGTCTCCCCAGATAGTCCATTTTTTTTTTTTTTTTTTTAAATATCAGTCAGGTCCTTTTGGAATTTTATTCTAGATTTTTAAAAAATGTGCAAATAGAATACTATGTATGATTGATTAGGTCAAGAAAGGTGGATAATAAACAAAATACTTGGGCAATCCCGTTACAGTTGAATATATGGTAAAACTGTCCAAAATGAGATGTTATTGCACTAGAAAATGTCAGGGACCATAGGTTCTACCAGTTTCTCATGTCTGACATTTGTAGCAATAACACCAAAATGGATGAATATGGTAGATACAAGTTGAGGACTGGGACCAGAGAGGGATGATGATTTTAGTATTTCCTCCTTGGTGTACTAGGTGGAGAAGATGATATTGGATTTCTTTAAAGATACTAAGTTGTCCATTCAGTGCTTATCGCAGGAGCAGGTAAGCTGACAGAAAACACAGATGCTTGTCTCTGTTGTAACATGTGCACAAACACTTCAGTTCATCTCAGTTTTGGCTGCCTTGTTCCTGTTAGATCAAGCACTCAGCTCAACTTTCTTGTTTGTAATTGGAAATAACTATACGTGATTATTCAAGTGAAGTTGTTAGGGCTTAATCATCGGATAATGCAACATTTATTCATTGACATTTAACTAAATAATTTCGTGGCTTTTTTATGAAAGTATATCTTGAAAGGTAGAATTAGACTGAGGAATAACTAATTAAAGTCACAGTAGAGCAACATGGCTTTGGGAGCAATATATATACAACCCTAATATAAGATGGAAAATCCTTGCTGCTGTCTGAGAAAGGGAAGAAAGCCTAGAAGTAGACACGCTGAGCAGTGGGCAACAGTGAGATGCTATAGTTTAAGATCTAATCTGTAATCTGCAGTGCATTGATGCAGTCGCAAGAACTAGGAGGAAACGTTTCCGTTAAGTTGAATAGTATCTGTATTTGCGTATCCTACTCAGACTCTGCAACTGAAGAGCTAAGTGTTGCCCTTGCAAAGGTCGAGTGGAGCCTCTCAGAGAATTTAAGACCTTAGAATGGCAGCTGAAAGAGTAAGAGAACAAAAGCATGGGAATGACTTGAAGGTAGTCTTAAAGTGCTCTGTAGTTATAAAGGGCTCTTAAAGAGAATAGTAAGCAATGTTTATGAAGTTCATTCTTTCCACGCACTTTCCATAGCAGGCGTGGGTACTTTCTATACTTTCTACTAGTGTAGCAAGGGTGAGGAACCTGTATTCTGCCGCTTGGATATTTATAACATCATTATCGGGGCATAAAAAATGGTAATTTAAAAAGTAACCTGATATATTTGGTCAAAAATTTAATTAACTCACCCTTAAATGCCTTGAGAGGGACAACTAAATAATTTCTTGGGCCTTATATGGCCCATGGGCCAGACGTCTATAGGATTTTGGAAAAAATGGGCTGGACTTACATCAGGAAAATACCCATGAAAATACTAATATGTACATTTATTTTTACTATAAAAAAAGAAGACATCTTAATTTTTTTTTTTTACTTTTAAAATTAAGCATAGTTTGCTATATTAATTTTTGCCTACCAGCCCGTCCATGTGGGGGAGCTTTAGGAGATTTCTAGTTTATAGTTTCAGCAAGGTGCTTGCATTTTTGCTGTGCTTATTATAGATAATATGCACATTCAGAAGCATTTCCCTCTTCATTCTTGATCAACGTTCAATGCTTTTAATGATTTAAGGTTTTAAAAGTGATGGCTTTTCACCACCTCTCTCCCCCGCCCCACCACGCCATGCCTATATCCCTCAGCCGTTCTTATATTAATAGATGTCTCTGCCACTCCTCTCTCAAATGCTACCACAGTGTTATTGAGAGGCTCAGTTTTCCTTCTCCCTCTCTTTCCCAAGGCAGGTTTGCAAAAATCTCAACTACTCAGCCGTGTGTATCATCTCTTACATTGTTCCTATAACCTCCTGGGCCCTGTTTTCCTTAGGTTCTATTTTTCTAGTAGTTTCTAATTAGAGTGACTTGCAGTTCTTGTATATTAAATCTGAAATTCTTGCTATTGCTGAACAGGTGTTGAGGAGCAATTGTGAAGTTACTTGAATTCTCTGGAAGCAAAAGAAACCTATGTTTGTGGAAGAATTTCTGCTTGAGTTTTGATGTCATGATTTGAAAAGCTTGGCTCTTCATGGATTTATTTAAGGAAAATATTCATAACATAATTTTCAAATTTTAATTGTCCTGATAAATAGATTTCAAGTGCTGATGTAAAAGTAAAATAGGCAATTGAGATAAATGTTTATAATTTGCTCCTTTCTTATATTTAGATCTTATTGATTTTTGGACATAGCCCTGTTTCTCCCCTTTCTGTTTAAAAAAATCATATTTATTGAGCTATAATTTTCATACAATGAAGTGCAATATTTTTAGACTACAGTTCAGTGAGTTTTGTGTATCATCACCCCAGTTCCCAGCTGCCTCTTTGCAGTCAGTCAAAGCAACGCCCCCAATCCTGTTTCAAGCAGCTACTGATTTAAAATCACTATAAGTTGTTCTGGCCTTTTCTAGAAGTTCATACAGTGTGTACCCTTTGCACCCAGCTTCTTTTGCTCAGCATAATGTTTTTGAGATTCATAATTCTTCCCTTTTCTTGCTGACTGGTATTGCCCCCATCTCCCAACTTTTAAAATACCATGTCTTCATAACTGTGACTTTGTAATAAAAAAACTGAAGCCTCAGGGCATTGAGCATGTAAAGTCTTAGAGCTTCTTATGTCTGCAGCTTTGGGTAACCAGCTCAGGTTAGGGGATACTTCTGGTGATGCTCATTTTCCGCACAGCCTGATGCCTTCTGTCGCACTCCCCCAGTGCTACCTGCCTTTCCATCTCTCCTTCATGCAGTAAGCAACAGTAAGTGGCTGATTACATTGTGTACATCCTAGTGTGAAATGCTGGAAATGTTTTTTTTTTCAAATAGAAAAGTCAAAAGGTTTATTGACACTCTATCAGTTTCTTTTGATCAAGAGCCTAGTTGGGTGTTGTATAATATAAATTTTAGTTTTAATTGTTTCCATAGTAACAATTACAGAGGAAAGAGCCAAGGTGATAGGAGTACAATATCAGAAATCAAATTCTAATAGATTTTCACTAAGATTTTAAAATATAATAGATTTAATAGCTAGAGTTCTTAACCCAGAGATCAAGAACTCCAAGAGGATCTGAGAATGGCCTTAAAAAAATCAAATTAAATCAGGAATGCCAATCAAAACCAGCACTCCCCTACCTCATCCTATCCTAGTCCCAGTTCCAACACTGGAGGCACTGACTTTTACTCTTAGTTTTTTTCTTCAGATATTTTGATTTCTTTATTTCTAAGTAATATGTTTATACTCTTTTTCTGTTGAAGATATTACATATGAACTTCCAACTGTGGAAGATGAGGACATAGTGCTCCTCCCACTCTTTCCCCCATCCACCACATCTTTCCTCAACCTCTCTATATACTTGTATCCTAGTTTTTGGTTAAATAGTGCCTATTCTTTTATAACTGCATGAATATTTATGTCTAGGCCATCCAGCATACTATATTTGCTTGTGTAATTTTGTTGTTGTTTTTCTTGAAGTCAGTGGTTGAATAATCCCATTGCTTTTCATTTGCATTGGATCAGCCCTAGCCCCCTGACTGGATCTTGGTTTCTTTTTTTCACCAGCTTGGTGAGATAGGTGCATATAAGGTTTATTGTGTGACAGCTTGAATCCTGATATGCATTCTGATTCACAGTCATTTGTATGAGTTCTCTTTCCCCTCCCCACACTCCATCCCTTTAAGTTCTTGAACAAAATTATCTCCTTATCCCTTTTGCCATAATAATGTGCCCTAGCGTGGGTCTTGCTTTTACTTCATTGTCTTGAACACTATGTGTAACTTTCAATCTGAAAACCCATTCTTTTGGTCTTTTATTATTATTTTTTAAAAATATATTTTTATTTATTTCAGAGAGGAAGGGAGAGTGGGAGAGGGAGAGAAAGATAGAAACACCAATGATGAGAGAGAATCATTGATTGACCACTACCTGCTCGCCCCACACTGGGTTCGAGCCCACAACCCAGACATGTGCCCTGACTGGGAATCAAACTGTCACTTCCTGGCTCAGCCACTGAGCCATGCAGGCTGGGTCTGGATCTTTTATTTTATTGGTACTTTTTTGCTTCATTTTTTTCATCTCCACCCCCATCAACTTCACTTTGACAAGTACTAGATTTCTTAGATCAATCCCCTCATTTTCTTTTTACCTATATCTTGTTTCTTTCTTTCTTTCTTTCTTTCTTTCTTTCTTTCTTTCTTTCTTTCTTTCTTTCTTTCTTTCTTTCTTTCTTTCTTCTTTCTTTCTTTTTAATGCTTTATTCTTTTGACATTTATTCAAGGGCATCTTTTAATGTTTGTATTGGATTTTTTCTATCATGTTTTTAATTTTGAAAATTATTTTTTCATTCTGTTCTTTGATATATCTTCTCTTGTTTTTCCTAAGAATATTAATTATAGTTTAAAAAACCTGTTTTCTGAATAGTTTGTTCCCTTCTTCCTTCTCTCTAGTACTTTTTTTGTGTGTCTGTTTTGATTCCCATCCTTCCATGTTGTAGACTTTCTCTGACTGTGTGGTGATCCTTGGCTAACTATTTATATGTAAGAGGGAGGCACAATGAAGCTTAGAGCATGTTATGAGGCTTATTGAGTGACACTTGGCCAGTTTCTTTGGTGAAAACTCAAACGTCACTATCTAGAGGTGGAGATGTACCCAACAGATTCAGTGTCAGAAACAGAATTAAAAACTTTCAAGCAGAGCAGTCAAGGGGAGTAAATGAGTGTGTGAGTGAGGAATTGATACTTATTGTACTAAGAAGAACACTACAGATATGGGTTTAGACTGGCAAGACTTCGGACTGACCCAAGGTTGAATCTTTTAATTGTAGGTCAAAGAAAATCTGCTTTCATGCAAGATGCTGCTGCATTGCAAACGAGATGAGCTCCGGAAACTGTGGATCGAAGGAATTGAACATAAGCATGTCTTGAACCTGCTGGATGAAATTGAGAATATCAAGCAAGTGCCTCAAAAGCTGGAACAGTGCATGGCCAGCAAGCACTATCTCAGTGCCACCGACATGCTGGTACGAAAAGCCCGAGCTAATGGCCATTTCTGCTAAGATCGCAAAGCACTCTCTTTTGGTCTTTCTGAATTCTGTGATTCACATAGCACATTACCAACTGCCCTCTTGGGGTTCATGGTTCTTTGCAGGTAAAGCCTGGTTGGTTCTCTTCCTAATTCCAGTGTTTGAAATGGTAGATGATTATTATTTATGTATTGTCTGCCTTTGGAACAGTAGTAAGAAATCAGTACTTAAATCATGTTGGAATAGTAGTGAGAGGTGTTTTAGCTTCAGAGGGAGATAGCTAATGAATCATATTTTAAAGAATGAAATATGCATGAAAGAGAACTTAAAGGAGATTTATATACTTCCACAATATCTTTGAAGAAATTTTACTTCAGGGCTTTGTTTTTTCCCTAAATTGATAAGAAAGAAAATAATTTTAGAAGTACCTTTGTCAAGCAAGAGAAGTTCACAGCCTAGCCTTTAGCCTCTATCTTTGCCCATTCTGCCACATTTTGAATATATATGGTATATATATATACTAGAGGCCCAGTGCATGAATTCGTGCACAGGTGGGGTCTAGTTGGCCCACTCTGTTTGGGGTCAATTGGGCTGAGCTGGCTGAGGGGAGGGGATGTGGGAGGTTGGCTGGCCGGCCCCGCCCCCTGGTCGAACTTCTGATAGAACTCCTGATTGAGGGGACAATTTGCATATTAGCCTCTTATTATATAGGAGACACACATACACACATATAAATTGATTTCAGAGAGGAAGAGAGAGGAAGAGAAATAGAAACATCAATGATGAGAGAGAATCGTTAATCAGCTGCCTCTTGCCTCCTACTGGGGATGGAGCCTGCAACCTAGGCATGTGCCCTGGCTGGGAATTGAACTGAGACCTCCTGGTTCATAGGTCGACACTCAACCACTAAGTCACACCAGCCGGGCAAGGTGGACTGTATTTGGATTTTCTCTTCCACACTAGCTGAAAGTTCCATACCTTTGTTTTACCAAATTAGATTGGCTATGACACTGGAAAAATCCCTTGAGAGGAATTGGTGGAGAAACAGGTTAAGCCCTCTAAGTAGTTCTAATTCATTCAGACTGTCAAGAAGAATTTTGCTGTAAGTCCTTCATAAGAAGCTTTTAAGGAAATTTTGTAACCTGGAGGTGAGATGTGCCATGATTCTTTTCTGAAACCTGCTTATGTGAGAGACATGAATAGTCAATTGCCCTGGGGAAGGAGGTTAGTAATGGGAGTGGCCAAAGAATTGGCTATTTTCAGTATCTTGTTTATAGTGACATCTTTCTTAGGAATGACTGTAGGGTGTCTGACACACAAAAAAAGTTACATCTTTTAGCTTTACTCTTGGTTAATGGATTAGATTGTGTATATGTGCTAAATGATCAAGATTCAGCCATCAGAATAGATAAGCCTTTTAGAATATATTTAGTATATTCACATGTATTTGAATCAGGATTATTTGTAGTAGATCTGCTGTTAAATAAGTGCTATATGTTAAAAATAGGTAGAATTTATTTCTGTGTTATAATAATTATGTTCTTTTTGGATTTCAGATTTTTATTTCATGGTATTACTACTTAAAGGCTAATTTATTTACTAAAGAGCTAATCAATAATTAATAGTTTTTTTTTGTTTTTTTTTTTTTGTTTTTTTTTACTTATTTTTCTTAAGAATTTCATTAAATACATCTTTTAATTTTTGGTTGCAAGTTACAGAAACCCAACTAGGTAACAGAATTGCTTTACTCATGTAACCATCTGTAAGGGTAGGTGTACATGTGGAATGCCACCTCTCTGTTCTTTAGCATGTCATCTTCATTCTTTTATTGGAGATGTTTCTTCCACTGAGGGTGTTTGGAGAGAGGGAGTGTAGCCTATAGCTTACATCTCTTCAGGTTTGAAGAGGAAAATAATTTTTGTTCCTAATTAAAAAATACATGAGTAAACAAGGCCAAGTGGCTCAGTTGGTTGGACATAGTCCCATGCATCAAAAGATTGCTGGTTTTGAGCCCGTAACCTGGGCATGTGTTCAATTCCCAATCAGGACACATGCCCAGATTATGGGCTCAATCCCCAGTAAGGGTTGTGCAGGGGTGGCCGATGTTCTGCTCTCACATGGATGTTTCTCTCTCTTTCCTTTCTTACACACACACACACACACACACACACACACACACACACACACGTGCACTTGTGGGGGTCCCTCAACCTGGCCTGTGTCCTCTTGCAGTCCAGAAGCCCTCGGGGGATGTCCCACAGGAGTGAGCTTAAGCCAGCAGTTGTACATCCTTAGCACTGCTGCAGAGGTGGGAGAGGCACCTGCCACCACTGCTGATATTGCTAGCCATGAGCCCAATTCAGGGCTTCTGGTTGAACAGCACTCTCCCTATGGGAGTGCACTGACCACTAGGGGGCAGCGCCTTCATTGAGCCTCTGCCCCCTAATGGTCAGTGTGTCATAGCGACTGGTTGTTCCAATGTTTGGTTGATTTGCATAGTAGCCTTTTATTATATACTGTCCTATATAATAAAGAGGTAATATGCAAATTAACCTTCACACCATCATAAGATGGCTCTGCCCCCATTGGAGGTGGGGTTCCCATAACACAAGATGGCTACGCCCACAGTGGGGATGGGGTTCCAATAATGAGCAATCAGCAGGGACCTGAGGCTGCGTGGAGTAGGGCGGGGTGGGAGACCTGAAGCTGTGCCCCCTGCGTGGCAGGGCTTGATGGGGGACCTCAAGGTGCTCCCCTCCGGGGGGGAGGGGCCCTCAGAGCGCAACCTCACCCTGGGGATCTTCAGGCCCTTCCCCCTGCCCGGAAGGCCTTCATGGAGGACCTCAAAGTGTGCCTTCTACCACTGTGCTTGGCCGGGGAACCTCAGGCCATGCCCCTCACCCAGTGGGGCTTGACAGTTGACCTCAGTGGAACCGGGTCTAAAGCGGCAGTTTAATATCCCCCGAGGGGTCCCAGATTGGAGAGGGTGCAGGCTGGGCTGAGGGACACCTCCCCCTCTACCCCCGGTGCACAGATTTTGTGTACTGGGCCTCTAGTTTACATATATAAAATTATGGTTGGTTGGTGGGAAGGAAGAACAGTCACCTTTCAGAAAAGGGTGGATGTATGAGATACACTTTTTAGTAGTTTCTTTTTGCTATTTATATTTTTATGTAATCTGGATACTAACCGTTTATCTGTTGGATGGATTATAAATGTATTTTATCAGTTGTAATGTGTTTAAAGTGTTTTTTGTTATAAAGAAATTATAAAATTTAATGAAATAAGATTTCTCATTCATTTAATGTTATGTGATTTTTATTTTAATAATTGTTTTTCTCAGTGTCATAAAAAGAATGTCCTATGTGTTCTTCTTTAATCCCTTTAGAATGTACTTTCTTATGTGGTTTGAACTGGGGATCTAATTTTATCTTCCATATAAATAGCCACTTGGCCCAGACCATTTGTTGAATTCATTTTCTATTGACTTAATGCCATCTTGTTCACATACCAAGTTTTTACATATATGCATGGGTATTTATGAGCTCTTTTTGTTCACTTGGTCTCATCTGTTTCTACAACAAAACCATGATGTTTTAATTACTATAATTTTATAATATATCTTGGTAACAGGTAAAGATGCTATTTTACCTTGCTCAGTGGTTGGCAAACTCATTAGTCAACAGAGCCAAATATCAACAGGACAACGATTGAAATTTCTTTTGAGAGCCAAATTTTTTAAACTTAAACGTCTTCTAATGCCACTTCTTTGAAATAAACTCACCCAGGCCGTGGTATTTTGTGGAAGAGCCACACTCTAGGGGCCAAAGTGCCACATGTGGCTCTCAAGCTGCAGTTTGCTGACCACGGACCTTGCTGTTCATAATCATCTGGTATTTTTGGCCCTTACTCTTCTAGATGGATTTTAGTATCAGCTTGTTAAGTTCCACAGAGTGTGATTAAATGTAAGGGACATTACATTTACAGGACATGTCTCACATTTATTAAAGTCTTTATTTATGGTCTTTGTAATAATGCTTAGGAATGTATTCCTTAGAAATTCTGTATTACGTACATAATTTTTATTTCTGAGTATCATATTTTTGCTTGTTAAAACAATGGCTATTAATTACAATTTCTACCCTGTTTCCTCAAAAATAAGACAGTGTCTTATATTAATTTTTGCTCCCAAAGATGCGCTAGATCTTATTTTCAGGGGATGTCTTATTTTTCCATGCCCTAGGTCTTATTTTCATCGGATATCTTATTTTTGGGGAAATACGGTAGTTATTTGTTGCTACTGTATAGGGCTGCTGTAGATATTTTCTCTTTTAATTCATTATACATTTCCTTGAAACTAATCTCAATCCTCTCTGCTTGGAAAATGATGATCTAGTAGTCTTTAAAACTTGGCTCAAATTTTATCATCTCTAACTATGCCAGGTAATTAGATACTTTTTTAAAAAACATATATTTTATTGATTTTTTACAGAGAGGAAGAGAGAGGGATAGAGAGTTAGAAACATCGATGAGAGAGAATCATCGATCAGCTGCCTCTTGCACACCCCCATTGGAAATGTGCCCGCAACCAAGGTACATGCCCTTGACCGGAATTGAACCCGGGACCCTTTAGTCTGCAGGCCAACGCTCTATCCACTGAGCCAAACCGGTTTCGGAAGATACTTTTCTTTTAAAAAATTATGTTGTTAATTTTATTGTGGTAAGAATTCTTACCATGAGTAGATGCTATTCTTTATTTTCATAAGCTGTATGTATTTCTTTGTAATATAATTACTTCTGTTTATATTGTAGATTATTGAGCACAGGGGCTATATATTATCTATTTTTGCCTGCCCTGTACTTAACATAGTCATATAGTCATAGTTCACAGGTCATTAGTCAAATGGGTAACTAACTATGTGAAAGAGTTTCATATCACTAAATAGAAAAAGGCATTTTACTGTCTCTCTAGGAGCTCTGGTCTAATTTTCTTCTCC